AGACAGTGAACTCCTCCCTGAGCGATTTGCTGTGCTGGGCAGCCTTTACCCATCGGGAAGATCCTCTGTTCTCTGGTGCTCTGCCTGAAAATGGGTAAGAGGGAGCAAAGTGTGCCTCACCCCTCCACATCCATGGATGTGTCCCGCACGGATCTGCATCCGTGGGGGAGAAGGCAGCTGCGAGAAGCTGCTCTGCCAGGCAGGAGAGAGGGTTGAGGGCTTCTTCCTCCGCGCTCAGAGCAACCCGAGCAAAGGGCTCGGGGCCGGTGGGACCCCCTCGGGATTTTTCCCGGGCGCGGAGCGGGGCGGGCGGGCGGCACCGTGAACCACAAGGCACCTCCGAGGGTTCGCTCTCGCTCCGCGCGGTGGCGCCGGCGCAGCGCTGCCGCCTCGGCCCCGCCGGTGGCCGGTTCGCGTCCCGCAAGTGTCCTAGCGCGGCGGGCTGCCCGTGCCCGGCGCGCATTCACCTCTTGCCAGAGGAGCCGCCTGGGCGAGTGCCCGGCCCCGGCGTGGGGTTCGGGTTCCACCGCCCAGCCACAGCTTTGCCTGCCGCTCGCAGCCAACCGGCAGCGCTGTGCTTTGCTTTTACCGCCCGCGGGCGAGGAAGAGCCGTGTGCCCGTGCAGGGGCTGGTGCTGCTGAGCGCTCTCCTGCCTTCCCGGGGAGCGGCTGCCCGGCACACGGGCACTCGGAGCGGTGCTGCTGGAGCGGGGCCTCGTGGCGCGGTGGGAGCAGGAGGATGTGAGCAAAGGAGGCTGAGCCGAGCCCCCAGTGCCGGAGGAGGCTGCACCCTGAGCTCCCTGCCCGCCGGCCAACATCTGTACAAACACCGCTCTCGCTGTCTCCCGGCGATGCCAGGATTGAGTTCTGTTTGCAAAGCCCTTTGAAGAAGCCTGTTTCTAACTATCGTGGTGTTTATTAAAACGCAGCTCCCCCCGCGGGACAGCGGAGCAGAAACAAAGCTGATCCACGGGGAGCTTTCGGGCCGGCGCGGTGCTCTGGGCCGGGGCCGGCAGCCCGTGGTGAGGCCAGTCCTCTCGGGGAGCTGGTGCGTGGGACTGGCCTTCGAGCAGGGGCTCCTGAATTGGCCTCTGCTGAAATCAGCTCTGTGACGGAGCTTCAAAACAAAGCAGAACTTTACTGGTCATGAAAAGCAAAAATGTTTTGCTTTCTCACTGCGTGATAAACTCCTTCTCGTTATGTAAGTGTTACTTTCCGCACATCTGTGTCACGGCTTGTTGATAATTCCTCTCGATCAGCCTGATGTGTCCTTTGGTTTGTTGTAGTGAATGCTGAGCTATTGCTGTTTGAGGATGGAAAAATCTCAGCAGGTGCTCGTCCAGCAAAGAGGACACTCCAGACCTGCAAAATGTCCACCCCACGTCTTCTTGCAGCCTCAGCTGTATCACTCCACCAGTCCATCAGGAGCTGGACTCAGTGATCCTTGTGGGCTCCTTCCAACTCAGGTTATTCTGATTCTATACCTGCAGCAGCAGTTCACTGGATGAAAACCATTGCTTCCCTGGCTGGCTCACAGGGCAGGTGGAGTTTCCAGTCTTTGTTTGACTGGGAATAGCCTGACATACTGCTGTGTTAGCTTTCTGTGCATCTGTGTGGTCATAAGTGACACTGTATTGTTATTATTAATAATATTTATTATTATTATTATTATCCATTGCATTATTAATTCTCAGGCTTTATGTTCAGTGTACGTGCATTCTCATAAGGAAAATGGGATTCCTGTTTTCTTCTCTTTTTTCACATGAATAGTTTATCTGCTGCAAATACAATTTCAAGCCATCAATGTTCTTTCAGAGTTTGGTCTGACTTTATAAAAATAGTCCTTGCAACCCAGCTTAGCTCATTTGAGTTTAACTGGGGAATAATAAAAGGTACTCTTTTAAGCGAAATCAAAGCAATAATATTTGGAAAGAGGTAAATGAATGGAAGTGGGAAGATGACAGTCAGTCCCACCCTTTTCAGAGTACGGGTCTGGACACTGAGGATGGTGACAGCTCCATGTGACACTGGGAGAAGTGATGTCCTGCCCTGGCTTACCCAGAGAGGCTGTTGTCACCAGCCCCAAAGGCTGTGTTGGCCTTCAGCCCCTCCAAAACCTTCCTGCTTGCCTTTGGGGGGACCCTGAGACCGTGGGATGTGAAGGGTGATGGCTCGTGGTGCACCCAACCACTGGGGGTCTCTCTGCCACCATCACTAGCACTGGGAGAATCCGTATGTTTAGGGAAAATCTTTGAACAGAACGTATTTCCAGCTGTGTGCTGGATGGACAGTTGGTCACTCTGGGTCCTTCTGCTGCTTGAATCTTTCCACTTTTAAGAACAAATTGTTGTCTCAGGAGACCAACTCCAGACCTGCCAGGAACAGCTTCATTTTCAGGGGCTTCCTCGTGCCTGCCTGGACCAAAGTGTCACGACACAACGAGGTGCAGATAAGCTGCAGAAAGAGGAGTTAAAGGAAAGAGGGAAGAGAAATGAAATGGAAATAGAGGTGTTTTATTGGCAGCATTAGGATTTCAGAGGGAATCATGGGTTATTGATGGAATTTCCTTTTCTGTTTATTTTGGTATCTGACCATCACCAGTGATTTCTGTGGTGGGACTGGGAACCAGCTTGTGAGCTCATGGATACCAGCCTGACTTCGGTTTGGGGTAATTATGCTAAGTTGTGTTTTGCCCACTGATGCCACAAGGGCAGAATTGAACTAAGGGGATTTTTCGAGATAAATGTGAGTTGTAGACCTATAGGAGCACTAAGAGGAAAAAGGGACATGAAAAAAAACCCCACATACAAGCAAGGAACAGGGATGAAGATACTGTTGCATAATCTGGGAACGCTGTTGCCTTGACTTTTGGACGGTGGCAGCTCTGTGCCTGTAATTACTGTGTGGATATATAAAAACTGTGCATACAGCCTATATGCTGTAGCTTTTTCCAGTGAACTTTTTTTTCAGTCTAGGCCTTGATGTCTGCAGGAAATTGATATTTTCCAGTTTTGCAAGATGCAAAACACCGATAACCTTTTGCAACCCTCCTCTCCCATCAGTGCTGATAGGAAACCAAGTTAGTGCAATAAAAGCATAAAAGCTCATTTGTAACCCAGGGTTCACTCCGTGAGGGTCACTACAGATAAATAAAGCCTCTCCCTGGCCCAAGCACAAACGGTGTCCCACAGTGGTTCCTTTGGGCACTATGCAGCACCTCTTTCTTTTGCTAACAAACCAAACTTACTTTAAGTAGCAGAGAATAATGGCCAGGAGTGCAGTGAGGTCTGATGCCAGTGATAGGGTTAGTGATAGGGCACAGCCAGGGCAGCTGCAGCCACTGCTGGCACTGGAAATGGGGGTGATAGAGATGGAGCTTACAAGAAAACAAATTAATTAAACATTTTTTCCCAGCTGAAGTCCGGGAAGGCCGAGTTAACCAGCATGTAGCCCCTGCACAATGTGCTCGGCTGGGAAGCACTGGAGGCTGAGCCAGCATCCACCCTGCTGAGCCGAGAGGGGCCGGGTGGGATCGGGGAAGGGACTGTCCAGGCAGGGACGTGACTCGTGTCTTGGAGGAGAATGTGCTGCCGGTCCCCTCGCCCTCCACACTGCCAGAAGTCTGTATCCTCACAAGAGAAAGAACAGACTGTGACTTTGGCAGCTTATTATTCTTTTGGAACTTTTTTTGACTTACAAGGTTGATTTTGAGAGAAGAAGTTTTGTAGAGCTCCTTTGCTCCGGCATGTGACACACACTCATAGAGGGGCTCCCAGCCTCTGGCTCATGGGTATTTTGGGTAAGCTGAACCTGTTTCAGGCAATTCTGCTTTCAGGCCGTCAGCCATCCATCTGCCCATCCTCTCCATCACACACCACCACCCGAGTGATGAGGCAGCTCGTGCTACCCCAGCCCACTGCAGCGGCACCGAGGCTGCGCAGCAACCTCCTACTCTTTTTTTTTCTTTTTCGTAGTCATGATAACTTCTTATTCACGCTGTTGAGCAGTTAAAGAAAGGCCAGATGAAAATCCCCATGGCTTTCCCTCGGTCAGCTCTGTGCTTTCTCCCGGGCCCGGCAGAAGGCGCGTTTGCCAGCGGGGCCGGGCGGCCGCGGGGCCGGCGCCAGGCGGATGCCGGATCCTCGCGTTGCCAGCGGCCCCCGGCAGTGCCCGGCAAAAGCCTTTGTGCCCGTTCTGCTGTTTGAAAAGAGCCGCGGT